CCATAACGCTCGAGGAGATCAAGAGCGAATTAGTCGATTTGGTACTCCCTCTCTCTTGCTGTAGCTAGCTCCTTATTTGTTTTTCTTGATTTGCATATACATATAACAAGATAAGGAAGTGAGCATGTGTTTTGTTGCTGAGAAAATGGAGTTAAAACGAAAGGTTATTGAGGATTCGTATGTCTTGAGAGCTTTTTAAGAATTTTCTGTTCTTTTGAAATTGAAAATTTGAGAATAAAACTGGCTGATGAGGCTGTTCAATTATTTTCAACATGACTTAATTTTTGTAAAAAGGTTTTCCTAGCCATAACTCCCCTTCTAGCTTTCCCATGGCTTTTTCCTAGCAACCAAACAAAGCATCTATGACCTGTTTGAATATGAATTGCAACAAATTTCCTTTTTAGAGTACTACCTTTATAGTTGCTTGATGTAAGTAGTTTTCAGTTTCATCTCAAAGGAGAAAATATGGATCGATTTTTGCCAAAAATAGGAAAGGATTGATAAATAAGAGTAAGTTTAAAACTTGAAGCGGCTATATTTCGCCTATGATTATGTCACCGGAAAGATACAGGTGGAAATGTGAATATAAGCACCGAACCAAGTGGAACAAGTAAGTTGGCATTGGCAAGGCTACGGCCCCTTAGCATCTTTGAGTAACGTAGTTGACAAGGGAATCATTATCAAATTGGCTTATCAAATAGGGCTCGGGTGATGAAATTGGCTTCTCTGCCTGAATATTTATTTGACTAAGAAGTTGCTAATTGTTTTCAGGAACGGATACCGTTGGAGGAAGTGTTGGTGCAGCTGAAATGTACCAGGGCTGGACTGACTTCCGACGAAGGAGCCCGTCGACTCCAAGTTTTTGGACCAAACAAACTAGAAGAGAAAAAGGTTTGATTCATTACCTTTACTGTATGTGGCTTCCTTTATTTTGCATTCTTCCATATGACGATATGATGTTTTGCAAACAGGAGAGCAAGATTCTCAAGTTTTTGGGTTTTATGTGGAACCCTTTGTCATGGGTCATGGAAGCTGCTGCTATGATGGCTATTGTCATGGCAAATGGGAGTGGGAGACCTCCAAACTGGCAGGAATTTGTTGGTATCGTTGTGTTGTTGCTGATCAACTCTACCATTAGTTTTATTGAAGAAAATAAAGCTGGTAGTGCTGCAGCAGCCCTCATGGCTGGTCTTGCTCCCAAAACTAAGGTGAAAACATCGGCTCCTCTCAGTTTGTATATATTCATCTTGTTTTTGCTAATTTAAACTTGGTTTCAGTTTTTATTTTCTTTCTTCTGGGACAAACTGTAGGTTTTAAGAGATGGTAGATGGAGTGAACAAGATGCTTCAATTTTGGTTCCAGGGGACATAATCACCGTTAAATTGGGAGACATAATTGCTGCAGATGTTCGTCTTCTTGAGGGTGATCCTTTAAAGATTGATCAATCTGCTCTCACTGGAGAATCTCTTCCTGTCACTAAAAACCCCTTAGATGTAGTGTTTTCTGGTTCCATGTGCAAACAGGGTGAAATAGAAGCAGTTGTTATTGCAACTGGTGTGCACTCGTCTTCAGGTAAAGACGAGCATTTGGTAGACAGCACCAATCAAGTTGGGCATTTCCAGAAAGTTCTCACTGCCATTGGCAATTTCTGCATTTGTTCGATTTTTATTGGATTATTCATTGAGGCAGTTGTCATGTACGGGATCCAGCACCGCATGTACAGGGTTGGAATTGACAATTTACTAGTTCTCTTGATTGGAGGTATCCCGATTGCCATGCCAACTGTGTTATCTGTCACCACAGCTATTGGTTCCCACAGGCTCTCTCAGCAAGGGGCTATTACCAAGAGAAGGACAGCCATTGAGGAAATGGCACGCATGGATGTTCTCTGCAGTGACAAGACAGGGACTCTGACCCTGAACAAATTGACTGTTGAAAGAAACCTGATTGAAGTGTTTGTAGAGGGGATGGAGATGGACCAAGTTATCCTTCATGCAGCTAGAGCTTCAAGAACTGAAAATCAGGATGCTATTGATGAGGTTGTTGTTGGAATGCTTGCAGATCCCAAAGAGGTATATTTTGCTACTCTTTGTCCTCTCTTGTTAGGTAGTGGATTAGAGGATTTCTGCATCATTTTAATTATGAATTGACCAGGCACGAGCTGGTATTAGGGAGGTTCATTTCCTTCCTTTCAACTCTGTAGACAAAAGAACTGCTCTTACCTACATTGATTCTAATGGAAACTGGCATAGGGCTAGCAAAGGTGCCCCTGAGCAGGTATCCGTAATTTTCCTCATGCTGGTATATCCAGTTAGAAAGTTGTAAGGAAGTAACACCTATCTGTTTGTTTTCATTGTCCTGTAACAGATATTGGACCTCTGCAACTCCAAGGGAGATGTTCGGAAAAAGGTTCATGCAGTAATTGACAAGTTTGCTGAACGTGGACTTCAATCATTAGCAGTGGCAATACAGGTTTGCTACTCTTCACATTGTTAACATCACTTCATTAAGTAAATTGAGCTAATGATGTTTCTGTTTTCTTTCTCTTCTTTTTTTATTTTTAAATTTTTTTAACTTCTTAATTTTTGCAGGAAATACCTGAGAAGACCAAAGATAGTTCAGGGGAACCATGGCAGCTTATTGGTTTGTTGCCTCTATTTGATCCTCCAAGGCATGACAGTGCTGAAACTATTAGAATGGCTCAAGTCCTCGGCGTGGATGTTAAGATGATTACTGGTGAGACTAAATATTTTACTTAGTTCTAGTTCAAAAAGTTTATTTATTCTAAATTGATTATTACCTCGCTCCTTGCGTTGTACACACCTTGTTTTATTATTTAGGTGATCAACTTGCCATCGCCAAAGAAACTGGGCGGAGGCTTGGAATGGGAACGAACATGTACCCTTCTTCCTCCTTGCTTTTTGAAGATGAGGATGCTTCAATTGCTGCTGCTTTCCCTATAAATGAGTTCATTGAGATGGCAGATGGATTTGCTGGAGTATTACCAGGTGGTTTAATATATTTGTAAATTTTCTACAAAAACATATACCTTTTTTTTCATTCTAATTAAAGAAACCACTGATGACTTAATAACATCAAGTTTCCATAAAAAGTAATGATATTACTTGATTTTTGTCAAACTCACTGTTGCCATCCAGCATAATAGTTCTTGATTTTTGTCGCTTGTATGCATTTTAAAATTTTTTGACTATTGGCCATCCACTTTTCAAGTTACTACCCTGATTCCTCTTTCTAACAATTTGTTGCTGCCTATGCTAGAACACAAATATGAAATTGTTAAGAGGCTGCAAGAGAGGAAACATATCTGTGGTATGACTGGAGATGGTGATGCACCTGCTTTGAAGAAGGCTGATATTGGAATTGCTGTTGCCAATGCTTCAGATGCTGCTAGAAGCGCATCAGACATTGTCCTTACTGAACCAGGGCTTAGTGTCATTATAAGTGCGGTGCTAACAAGCAGGGCCATTTACCAAAGGATGAAGAACTACACAGTTAGTTATATTCTAGTTTACCTTTGTTGGCATTCTCTTGTTTATGGTTTCATGGAGCGAATTGATATATGTAGTAACCACATATATTTCCTCTTAAATTTGCAGACCTATGCTGTTGCTGCTACCATCCATATTGTGGTTAGTATATCTGAAGTTGTCTTTGACAACTTTATGCCACTGCTAAAGGTGTTCTATTTTTACTGAAAAATATGGATCTTAATACAGTGGTTTGTTTTTATATTGGCAGTTTAGTTTCCTGATTATTGCCTTGGTGTGGAAGTTTGACGTTGCTCCTTTTATGGTCTTAATTATTGCCATCCTAAATGACGGTAGACATTCTTTATTAAATCTCAGTGTAAATAATATGCTCTCGTCTCTATTCTCATTTGGTACAAGCCAGGTTTGACTGACCCTGAATAGTCATGAATCTAATGTCCTGCATCACTATGTCTGTAGGGACAATCATGACAATATCAAGAGACAGAGTGAAGCCATCTCCACAGCCTGACAACTGGAAGCTGAGAGAGATTTTCACTACTGGCATTGTGCTCGGAGGATACTTGGCATGCATGACTCTAGTATTTTTCTGGGCTATAAGAGACACCGACTTCTTCCCTGTAAGTATACTTTTGCAATCTTCTCTTCATATTTTGGTAACATTTCTCATGGTTTTTCTTAACTTTTCCAATATTACAGGTTAAGTTTGATGTAATTGTTCTGCGCCAATCGTATACGTCAGAGATGATGGCGGCTTTATACCTCCAAGTGAGTATTGCGAGCCAGGCCCTTATTTTCGTGACACGATCCCGAACCTGGTCCTATTTTGAACGCCCCGGACTTCTGTTAGTCATTGCTTTGATAGTCACTCAGCTGGTAAGACTTCATATTCATAGCCCTTCCAGTTTTTTGGAACTATTATTTGGTTATGAGGTTTCTGCAACTTCTCCATCCCCTTTTCTGTTATTCTTTTCTGAGGCTGACGTGAGATTCCTGTTCTGAAATTTTCTTGGTAAAATCCTCCAATATCCAATTTGAAATTTTCTTAGTAAAATCCTTTAATATCCAATTTGTTATGGTTTTTATTTTATTTCTTGTCTCTCTTTTCTTCTTTATTAACACATAAAATACTGAAATGCTATTGTCAACAATTCTCCACTTGTCAGGTAGCAACACTGATTGCAGTCTATGCAAATTGGGATTTTGCTAGAATAAAAGGTATTGGCTGGGGATGGGCTGGAGTGATCTGGCTTTATAGTGTTGTGACTTATATCCCTCTCGATATTCTCAAGTTTGCCATTCAGTATCTCCTTGGTCGTGGTGTGAGGGATACACTTTTACGGAACAAGGTATATTATTCTCTATGATACTTAACACGAAGAGCTATTTTGGTTTTACTATATATTGTCAACTTCACATAACATCTTTACTGAGATTTCAGTTTCTCTGTTTCTATTAGGTGCTGTTGTCTTCAAATTTCATATTTGCTATTCTAACTTCCATTACAGACCACCTTCACTACAAAAAACCTTTTCAGTGACAAGAACAGTTTTAGGGAACTCTCAAAGATTGCAGAGGAGGCTAAACACCGGGCCGAGGTTATCAGGTAAGTGAACTATGTTATAGAGGAAAATTAGCACAATGTGCATCGAAACCAAAGAAGAAAAACTCATGAATTTAGCATTTTTGTTTCTAATGGAATCTTTAGGAATCTAATTCGAGAATGGGAATATATTTTCTTATAACTTTAACTGGAAGATCCTTGCTTTTTATCTCTCAAGGAATATGTGTGGTTACTTAAAAAAGGTGATTTTTGCAGGCCGAGGGAGCCTACACTTACGGTGCATGTTGAATCAGATGTTAAGCTGGAAAAGAGACTTGACATTGATACGGTAGCCTTCGATGCATCCACAATGGAGAAATTTCTGGAAGATTGGAACAAGGAGAAGCCGGTGAGATACACTGCTCAGCAACTGGATGACTTTACTAGAAATTACTCGAAAAGGTTGGGGTCTGGAGGATATGGGGATGTTTATGAAGGGCAGTTTCCAAATGGAGTCAAGATTGCAGTGAAGTTGCTCAAGGAAAAATATGAGGGAGCAGCAAAAAAGCAGTTCATGGCAGAGATAGACACAATTGGAAGAACAAACCACATTAATTTGGTTAGACTTTATGGTTTTTGCTATGATAGAAATACAAGGGCGCTTGTATATGAATTCATGGAAAATGGATCGCTTGATAACTACTTGTTTCGGAAGAAGGAGATGATTGAGTGGGAAAAATTGCATGTAATAGCGGTGGGTACAGCCCAAGGAATTGCTTATTTGCATCAAGGCTGTCAGCAGAGAATTATTCACTATGATATAAAGCCAGCCAACATTCTACTTGATGCAAACTTCCTTCCTAAGGTTGCAGATTTTGGGCTTGCAAAGCTTTGCAACAGGGACAATACTCATGATTCAGTTACCGGATTCAAGGGAACCCTTGGTTACTCTGCCCCCGAGCTTGTTCTGAGAAATCATCCCATAACTTACAAATGTGATGTGTATAGTTTTGGAATGTTGTTGTTTGAGATAGTTGGGAGAAGGAAAAACACAGTTAGTAGTTCCTCTGAAATCGTTGATTGGTTTCCAAAGGTTGTGTTGGATAAGTACCAGAAAGGTGAATTGGCTGAACTAATAAAAAGTTATGGGATTAAAGAGGAGGACATGGAAAAGGCAGAGAGAATGTCATTAGTGGCATTGTGGTGTGTTCAAGATTCGCCAGGAGCTAGGCCACCAATGAGTGCCGTGGTAAAGATGCTGGAAGGAGGAGGAGTGGAGATCATGCCACCTCCTAAACCCACTCATTTACTGTTCTCATCGTTAGGGAAAACTGCAGTCAAGCCACCAAATGCTGCCACTGATTCGAGTTTCTCCTCGAGTGAAGAATCCAATTCTAATTGGTATAAAGAGACCACTGCAATCATGGCCAAGTATGAAATAGAAGTGGCCAGCAGTTAACAAGACTAAAATTCAGTTTCCAGAAAGTGTGTTTTGTCTTGACTTTTGTTAGTATAAAGTTTTTCGTTTTCTGTTTAGCTAACAGAAGTTTAAATTTCGTTCGATTGTAACACGAACCAAGGTAGATTCTTTTCTTCAATTTACCACAACCAAGAAAAGGTAAAGGCATGAAAACACAGACAGAAACTACGTGCAGTGTTGCCAAATTGTGTGTTTTTTTTTTTTACAAAGACATTTGTAGAATTTGAGCTAAGAAATTGGAAGCCGCAGATCTTCCAGGTACTGAATGCGGCAACAATTCTAGAAGGATTACAGGGTTATGTCTGACGCAATTTTGTACAAAGAAGGAATTTGGTTAACTCTTGATGTGAGAATATTGTTGGAGTTATATTATCTGTACTAAATGATTTGAGGAGATGAAGACAGACTTTTTTCTGCTGCAAAAGTGCATAGCTTGAAATCCGTAAGGAAAACTGAAAAGGGGAAGGGCAAATATTATCTTTAACCATGAAGCTTTAGGGTTTTTTCTTTTCTTTTTTTTCTTTTTCTTTTTCTTTTTTTAACAATTGAAAGCAAATTTCTGTTATTCATTAACTCATCTCACTAATTTGTCAATTAACTTCAACTTTGAGTCTCTTATTTTTAATTAAAGGAAATTATTATGAGTAAGATAATTAACAATTGTGAATTTTTAAATTAATTTGTACTAAATTAACAAATTTTAGATGAATAAGAAATGCAAAACAATAACCATTATATATAAAGTTTTAAAAATGTATACTGAACTACTACATAATTGTCATAATTGATATAAATAGCCTTATATCATATTTGGTTTAAATAAAACAAATGAAAGTAATTTTATTTTAATTAATTAAATTAATTAATTTAATTAATTATAATAATTTTTTTATTATATTATATGGTCAATGTGAGGCGGTCATTTCCAATGGAGGCAAAATTACTAAGACAATAACTTATATAATTTTATCCACTACATAATTCCACCCTAAATGTTAATTCCAATTTTCCATTCTAAAGTGTAAGAGTAATTACTAAACGAGAAAAATTAAGTGATAATATTTTTTTATTAAAAATAAGAACTTTTAAATTTTAATAATGTAATATGTAAATAAGGTAAATTATTTACTAATTTAAGAAATAAAAAATAGATAATTCTCAT